ATGTAAATTCGAGATCCAAGAAGCTTAAGGAAACCAAAACAAGAGAAACATAAACAGCATGGCAAGCATTTTTAAAGCTTAAAGTGGATTAAAATTGAAATCTTACTTTTTGGAAATTAAAAAAATGGTCTAATGATGAAAGAAATCCTCCCTCCCCCAGAACAAATGTATTTGGGTGACATACTTCCCTGGTAAGTTAAAAAAGCAGGTGCTGCTGGACATGCCATGATCAGAGTTCCCTGCAAAGGACACCCTGAAGCCCAGAGGTTCCTCCTCTGTGGGGGAGACCCTGGCTACCATCTCTTATTCACCGCCAAGAATAAGATTCTAACAGGCAGCCAGCTCAGAGCATTTTATTGTTGCATCAGCTCACTTTTCCTAAATCAATTAAACGTTGTTAACAAAGGTTACCTTCTTTTACCAATGAAACCAAGTATTAAATAATATATTATGATTCAAGACATGACGGGTCCAAACCAAAAATCCAGTTGTATGTCTTGTTAAAACATAATTTCCAGAAATCTACTGCAAGCGAAAGAGAGAGCCAGGACTTGTGTAGACATTTTTACTATGACGTGTTAATACCACAAAACAAAATTGGTATATGTTTCCCACATATATAATTGTTCCTTTTCTTAAGTCTTCGGACTTGTTTATTCCTGCTCACCTACCTGGTGCTTTTTTTGTAAAAGAATTCCACAAGAAACTCAGTTATGACTTATAAAGAGCCAATTCACAGGTTAACTTTTCAGAACTATACATTAGTTCATTAAATAAGGATTGCTTGTTACACAACAAAGTATTTTCTCTAACGATCACACATGGCTCCTTTTCATATTAGGCAGAAAACACTGCATTCCCTTCATCTGAAAATAGCTGATGAAAATTAATGGTCCCTTTGTCTCGAAATACGTCAGCGTATGGCCTCAAACCGAGCTAAGGGGTTGGATCAGCCTCTCTTTTTAGGATGCTTTAGAAAATCAAGCTTTGGGCCCTGAAAACATTTCTAAAACTGTAAGGAAATTACAGACAGAAAAGACAACTCTCCCAACACATGAACCGGTTAAAGACACCGAGGGCGCAGTCTCATGACTTCTGGTCGCAGGTGACTGCAGCGTGAGCTCTAGCAGCCCCCGCGGCCCCCGCCGTGGTGCGGGAACAGGGCCATGGTCTTCTTGAGCTCCTGGTAGCTCCAGTGCAGCTGCTCCACCTCGGCTCGATGCAGCACCCGCGTGTGGCCCAGCTCCTGCAGCAGGTGCTCGTTGGTGCTGACCAGGGAGCTGGGGGACAGGGAGCAGCTGCTCAGCACCCTCCCCAGCTGCCCGCCTGCCTTGGGCCC